AATCCGTGAAAACCAATACGATCCTGAGACGTCAAGGCTCCCACATTTTCTAGACAATCAGTTCACAGACCCCCCTTCACGTGACAACATAATAACGATGTTACGTCGCTGACCGGGAGACGATCACAGGCCTCGGATTACGTAGTTTATGTAAGGTAGATGTAAAATTGTCCCTGTGCTTAATTAATTACACACTACGCCGTTAAGACATTTGGAGGAATGGAGGTATAGCTCCACCATTATTGACCTCGGCACTAGATGGAGGTGAGCGGTCAGCTTCACGCCCAAGCAGATTTACCGCCGGGGAAATAGCCTCCGCTATCCATTGGATAGGAGGCTGGGTGGGCACCAAAGCCGGTTTGGACGCTGTGGAGTAGAGAAAAATATCTTACTCCTGTCGGTGATCGAACCGAGACCGTCGAGCCCGTCGCTAAACCCAGACCGAGCTTCATGCACATACGTTATTTGAAGAAATGGACGAAGCTGAAGAAACAGGAAGTGATATGACAGGGAAATCAGCGTAGCATAAGAGAGGAAACAACTTCGCATTATAGTAAATTACATACATCGATTTAAAGCGAGGACTTGTCTTCTGGGACCGAAGGGGGGGGGAGCAGGTTCTGTACCAGTCACTGATGAATCCCTTCGCAGTGTGGGCCCTCAGATGTTTCCCACGCTACAATCGACCAAGCGCAGATTTGTGACTAAGAATAAATTACCAGTGAACTCAAGGATACATGTCCCCCCTTCCAACTTCCCATATACCAAGATACTGTTTCGTTGCATATGCCCTTCGTGTGCTCTGACCGCATGTGGCAAGGACTTTTCGAAGATATCCTTTATTATGTCCCATGTTTTATTGATCTCAATGTGCTATTAATTAATTCGTTAATTTATGGTTTATTTATCGATACTGTCAGTAGCTCGGACCGCTAACAAACAGAAGATCGCAAGGCAGGAATACCACGACTCTCTTATTTTATTGATCGTAAATTTTTCTTATACGAAAATACCGCATCCAGATAATGAACCGCCGACGTTACGCTACTCCCTGTGCAATATGACTGTCGTAAATCAGAATGTGCTTCGTTCAAGGCTATTTCCATCATATATTTTCCGTACCGTTCCGCCAATCAAATTGTACCCTTTGCGTTTTATATCCACATTCTGGAATATTTCGTAGACATTTAAGGAGAACAGACCTATAGCCTGTTTAACATTAATATACCCTATATATATATATTTGTGGTCTAGTGGTCAGAGTTCCTGGTTACAGATTTAGAGGTCTCGGGTTCGATTCCCGGCGCAACCAGATTTTCTGAGAACTAGTGGATCTGGAACGGGGTCCACTCAGCCTCGTAAGGATAACTGAGAAGCTGTTTCAAGGAAGTAGCGGTTCCGGTCTAGAAAACGAGATTAACGGCCGTAGGGATCTGTTATGCTGACCACGTGACACCCTCTATCCGCAAAAGTTGGCACTGACTTCGCCCGACAAGCGGCGGTCTTTCGGTCGGTATAGTTCGCTTGCGGAGTACAGACCACGGAGTTTGTTTTGTTTGTATATTTATCTCTGTAATGTTGGTGACTACGTTTAGGACATCGCTGAAAGTTCCAACAATTCCGAACTCACAATTTCAAACTACGAGCTGGGATAGCTCAGTCGGTATAGCAACTGGCTACGGACTGAACGACAGAGAGGTCTGAGTTCGAGTCAAGGCAAGGGAAAGATTTTTCTCCTCTCCACGTCGTCCATACCGGTTGTGGGGCCCATCCAGCCTCTTGTCCAATGAGTACCGGGGGCTCTTTCCCTGGGGGTAATGTGACTGAGGCGTGAAGTTGATCACTCACCTCAAACAAGTGCTGAAGTCAAGAATACGTGGATCTCTACATCCACTCCCCAATGTGTTTTCATGGCGTAGTGCTTACGCAACTTTACCTTAACTTTACAGCTAATCACTCGTCCAAAGGAGCTGTAGAGCCAGTGAAAGAAAAACAAACATGTCCCGTAGTTTTCAGCGAACAGCATGTGCGCTTTTCAGTAATCTACAAAAAAAAAACTCCGTCGGTTTAGTCCGCAAGCGAACTATACCGACCGAGAGCCCGCCGCTTGTCGGCGAAGTTAGTGCCAACTTTAGCGGATAGAGAGTGTAGCGTGGTCAGCGCTTCAGTAATCTACAAGAAAGTGAAGACGAAAGTTATCAATATCTTGGTGATATCTCATCCTAATATAACGCACAATGAAATATGTCACTAAACTTCGCAACTTCTGGCGGATTTGGGGCCCTCATGGCGCTGACCTGGAAGATTTTCTGTGAAGTGATGCCTATAATCTGGCAGAAGTTTACGGACGTTTTCGAGGTACATACTATTCCCATCTTCATGGTCAAACCAAGCAACGAGCAAGGAGGATAAACAGCAGCTTCTGGGTTGGCTTACTCTTCGACCCTGATGATAAAATGACATGTTCCCGCGAAATGTCGGTAAATTTCAAACTACATGCCGTCACATTTCAGAAGGTACAACTCCACGCATTAATAACCTTGACACTAGATGGAGATGAGTGATCAGTTTCATGCCCTTCTTTACCCACCGGGGAAAAAATCCCCCATACCCCCTGGAAAGAACGCTTTGTTGGTTCTACAGCTGGCTGGAAGGAACTCTGAGACAGTCCAGAAAAATATTTGCCCCTTCTGGAAAATATATCCTGATTCTCCTGTCGGTCAGTCCACAGTCCAGTCGCTATACTTACTGAGGCATGTCAACTGATGTAGTACACTTGTATAAGATAGGAAAACAAAAGAATTACTTCAAGTTATAACACTTTTACTGATCAATTAAGAATTCAAAATACACATTTAGAGAAATATAAAAACATATACAATACTAAAAGCTGTTAATATTTCTTCAGTAATTATTGCACTGCTTTATGTCTACGGGTGAAATCACCTGATTGATGCATGTTACGCTCAATTAAAAAGAAAGTGGATTTACGTGTGACTTCAGAAATATAAATTACAAACGAGTATCTTAAAAAATACAAAAAAAAAGAATTAATTACAATAATCAACTTCTTACAATACAAACAGTAAAACTAACAAAATGTTAAGACTTTAACTTTGTGACTCATATTAAATGACTGGTTTTCACAACGATTTTCAAATAAATACCCCACTTTTGAAGTGACACGACATATGTAGGTTCTCTAGTTGCTATACAGAGTAGCGTGCAGGTTAATAGTTACAAAATTTATGGGAAAGTCTCAAGAATGTAAGTTTATATAAAAGTCAGAAAAGTCTGAAGTTTACAGGGGCATGTAACACGGCCTCGAAATTCTACAGACCACAGGGACATACGCAAAAAGCTGGAAAAAGTCCAAAGATTATATGGACATTTATGGGTTACAAATCCCAAGATGTACACAGGACCTGTACATTACTCAAGGACTTAAGTATGGGACCTTTTTCAAAATAAATATTCACTTTGCAATCTTACCTGTAATAAATTGCCTCTGGGTACGAATCAATGCCCTAAAATTAAAACTGCATGGTTACATGCTGGATTTTTTGGCCCTCGCTGAAGTAGCAGTTTTTTGGGTAGCAACACTATGCACTTCAGAAAACATGGCACATTCTATTAATAAATCATGCTCTTTCTGAACTCCATGGAATCACAACCCAGCAGAGCTTTCTTATCTGTCTACACCAGTGTTTCCAAACTAAATTTGGTCATGAAACCCTTTCGCACTCGAAAATTTTTATGGAGACCACAATAAAATTCTTATATATGAAGTTAAAATAACCAGACCACAAATAATTAAGTATAATAATAAATAAATGCCAAACGTGGATACGAGATCACCATATTATTTAACTGTACATAATTAAAAACGAAAATCACATTTCAAGTATTCAAAAAAAGGCAAAACTGATATGTCACGCACTTGTTACTATTTTGATAGTGTAGTGGAATGCTTTTGCGGAGCATGTACCTTCACTTCGCAGAAACCAGGGGCTTCATAGAACACCATTTGGAAAACACCGATGTATACTTTATGTACACATATACTGTAATGTCAACTTCATTCCACTATTTCTAATTCCAATAGATCTTTCTCTTCAGTAAGAAACCACATTAATATATGATAGAACAACCGTAATGAGTATCACTATTTTCTAAATTACTTTAACAATAATTTACAGTGTCACAGACTAAATAAAAGATAAAGCTAGCCCTGTAACAGGACGTGGAGGCCCATAGGGTTGTGATACCTCGAGGCTCCCACGTTTTCCAGACACTCCGCTGACAGATGGCAGTGATCTGGTCAGCCTTATGCACCGGCCGCCCTTTAGCCCCAAGGAGATTCCAGGTACTCATTTCTGTCAACCCCAGGGTTACAGTGCGGCTGCAATGATTAAAGTTATCCCTGTGCTTAACTAATCAAGCACTATGCCAAGAAGGCGTATGAGGGGAGTGGATATATAGATCCGTATTTTCTTGACTTCGGCACTACTTGAAGGTGAGTGGTCAGCTTCACACCCCGGCCACTTTACCCTGGAGGAAAGAGCCCCCGGTACCCATTAAATAGGAGGCTGCACGGGCCTCAGAGCCGGTCTGGACGACGTGGAGAAAAGAAAAATCTTGATCCTACTGGGACTCGAATTCCGACCCCTCTGTCATCCAGCCCGTAGCCAGTCGCTATACCGACTTTGCTATCCCGGCTCATGCTGGACGGATCGGGTCAACTGAAAAATCCAATGACCTTATCGGGAATCGAACCCGCGAACTTCGGCTTGTAGCACAGTGCCTCAACCAACTACACAACCGCGTGCCCCCTGACGATAACCAAATACTATTTTAAAACTATAGCTTAAATATTTCTTTAAATAGAGTTCTTTTTATTGCTAGTGGGGTGGGACTATGTCCCTTGTACTGCGGCCACTTCTGGCCTATTGTACCAGCCGCAGATGATAGGTGAGGGTGATTGTGGAGCAATTGGTGGAATGAACATGGCAGGGGAAACCGAAGTACTCGGAGAAAATCTGCCCCAGAGCCACTTTGCCCACCATAAATCCCATCTGAACAGACCTGGGATCGATTAAATAGAGTAAGACCTCATTGATTTGGACTAATTGGAGCGAACCCTTGTCATAATCAGTGACAGCCCGAATTATGGAAGTGCTACTGAAAATGTGTTCAGGAAAGTTATAAAATGGGCTTCAAGTGTCTTTAGGCAATACAACTTAATTTATACAGGTTTATATTCAAAGGATTCTACCATCCACGTCCAACATACAAGGTGAACCAAAACCATATTTAGAGAACAGTAGCTTATTCCAATAGAAAGTTCAACTAGAGCTAAATAAGGTAGGAGGATGGATTTGAATAAGCATGAAAAAAAATGACCAAGAAAAACCATTAAACAGATCAAACAAAACAGTTGTGGCCAAAGCAAGATTCAAACTGGAAACATCCTCAATAGAAGTCATGCGTGTTTCTGCTCACCCAACCTACTTGCTGTTAAGGCAATGTACTCATAGGTTTTGATAAAAGGTTTTCAGTGCTTCTGATGACAAACTTTTTTTCATCTGAGTCTCAGTAAATTATAAAGTGGAATATTTTCTTTCCTGAAAAAAAAAACTCTGGCTAATGAAATCAGATGATGACTTTGGAAGTGGGGACATTTCTGAACTTGAGGGTCACTCCAAATGTGAGAGATTTAGGAAGATTAAAGTGAAAAATAAGTTCCCCAATAACCATAAAATAACATTCTTCTTCTACCCATGAAATTGAAAATGTATGCTTTCATAATACAATAATATATTTTACTTGTGCGATTTTTTCTTTGTAATTTATTTCTTAACTGAAATGATAACATAAAAAAGTTTATTCACGAAAATAACGAAAACGGATTGGCAGGAATTTATACACGCTTTGCCAAGAGTAAAAAGTGGACAAAATTTGAAAAGTGACCAGTTTATTTTGGGTAACCAGCTGAGTTAATTTGGGGCAGGGGTCCAAGACTTCAGAGATATTCTCTTCCTCCACCACAAGGGAACTGTTTTGCTGGATTTTTTAGAATGTTGCCAGTAACTCGACTATAACTCTAGGAAGACCTAAATGCAGAGGATGAGTATATTATAATGGATCTAAAATAAACATGATATGGTAGTGTAGACTGGATTAATCTGGCTCAGGATAGGAGCAGGAGGGTGATTTCTTGTGAACATGGTAATGAGCCTACAGTTTCCATAAAATTCTGAGAATTTGAGTGGCTGAGCAACAGGCGGCTTCTCAAGAAGTTGTGCTAGCCAGGCTAGTAAGTAGCTAGATTATACAGTGTCAAACGGTGGGATGATGGTAAATCATGAATTTGAAACGACTTGGAAGGAAATGATCTACACATAATTGAGGCAGTATCCTGGCAGTTGCCTGGAGAGACTGAGGAAACCCACGAAAACACTCAGCCAATAGAATGCTAATGCAACCGAAGCTAGTGAAGTAAATTTGAAGTACATATTTCAACACAAAAATTCAATATTTATTTCTCTGAAGACAGCGGTGTATGTAATTTTGAGGCTTGGAACGCTCCATCAAATATAGTTATCATCTACCGCCATTACAGAGTACTCTTGTTAGAAGATTTCAAACTGCTGAATGAGGCAATGGAACCACTCTGCAGCTGACACCTTTTTGGTCATTATTCTGCACAAAATGCGACTTTTGGCATGGCCAAAAAATTTGCACTGTACACTAACATCTTCAGAGAGAATATGAACAGACCTGCAGATGCTTTGTAAGATAACGCAATTTCTATAGGACTATATCTCGAGACATCCTTAACACAACTACACCATGCCTCCATGGTATGGAAAGGATGTGTTATCGACAATGTGTCTGCACCATGATACATTCCAGCTAGAAAAAACTGTTTTCCACTGACTCTCACATTTTATACATAAGATTTTTTCTTACATAAGCTCTTTTGGTCCTCAGTTGTAATAAAAACACACTTTTAACATAAATAATGGTAATACACTCCACAACCTAAAATACGACAAGAATATCAATTACCCTCCAAAACTTACTCCTACATCAATGCTTCATGCATAACAGTAACCTGAACCTTTCAAGGTATAATACACTCTTAAGGAAAACAATTACTTTTGGCCACATCTATTAGTTTGCATTTTGTGTCTAATGTAATTGTTAATATTTGCGCCAATTTCTGTAAAGTCGAGTTTATGGTTACGTTTTATATTTTTGATAGACTGAAATTCTGTATCATACACTTCCACAGCATGAAGGTTCACTGTATACCAAAATAAAATCATCAATCAGTAAATCATGGAAACACAGTGTTGCAATCAAAAGTGTTTCAAAGTTCATTTCAGGCATTTGTGTAAGATATTTCTATCAACATGAATACTATTCTAGTAAAATAACAATTTAAGCATTAACGAGCAATTATATTTCAAAAGCAGGCACACAGATGTACCCATATATCATTTATATGCCATCTTAAGTTTTCATGGTGGTGAAGATTTGGACTGTGATACCTTGCAGTCTAATAAGACATTACTGACCAATATCATATACTTTAAATGTGTGAAAAACACATTCTGAAACAGTTTTCCGCAGTTTGGCTAATAAAAAGGAACAGATGCCTCTAGAAACCAACACAATACCCAAAATAATTATATGGGGTGTCGATATCTATCTGTTCACTCAAGATGCTCACTGTCAACAACAACAAAAAGAAAGTTTAGAAAAGACTGCAAAGAGAAAAATCTGCGCTTTCCCCAAAAATCAAATCCAGACATCCTGTCAGTATCTTGTTATTTACTGACTGAGCTATCTGAGTGCATAATTCATTTAAGGCAAAGTATGACACAATGCAACATAAATACAAACTGTAATGATTTCCATAACCTCCCATACTCTGTACTATGTTTCACAGTTGAATACTTTTACAGATAAATTCCCCATAAAAGCCCATGCCAGGAACCGCAAACACTAACTCTGTACATGTCATATGAACTTACATTTCTATTCCTTAGCCCAAAAATGTTCAAGAAATTGTACCTGACTTACTAGATAAGAGACAATCTGAAATATCATAGTATAAGACAACATTAATATTATACAGGGGCTTGAAACATTAATGTGTTTGTATAAGTTAAATGAAATGTGACCACTAATTATTTGTAAATATTCTGACATCACAAAGAACTAGGATTAGTAAACATACTTTTATATACACAAAACAGCTTTCAATTAATTTCATTACAGGTGCATTCACTTGACTGATAAATAGATCGAGATTCACTTCATTTTATTGCAGACACCGAACAATTAAAACAGCTTTCAAACTCTACATCACCGTATGTCTCACATACTCTGCAAGCAAAGTTCTGGGCATGGTGGCAATAAAGATGCTGCAGATGCTTCATGGTATATACCACACCTGTTCGACGTCCAAAAACGCTGGTCGCTCATGCTCCTACTTCCATTGTTCCCATACAACACCTAGAAAACACGACACAAAAACAAGTAAATTACATCTTAGTCTCTGACATTAAGAGCGGAACAGAGACTGAGGGTATTTGAGAACAGGGTGTTGAGGAGAATATTTGGACTGAAGACAGATGAAGTGATAGGAGGTTGGAGAAAACTGCATTATGAGGAGCTTCATAACTTGTACACTTCGCCATATATAATTAGAATGATGAAGCCAAGGAGGATAAGATAGGCAGGGCATGTAGTACGAATGGGGAGAAGAGGAATGCATATAGGATATTGGTGGGAAAACCAGAAGGAAAGAGACCACTAGGAAGATCAAAACGTAGGTGCATGGATAATATTAAAATGGATCTTAGAGAGATAGGATGGGGTGGTGTTGGACTGGATCAGGATAGAGACCAGAGGAGCGTTATTGTGAACACGGTAATGAAACTTTGGGTTCCATAAAATGCTGGGAAGTTCTTGAGTAGCTGTATAATTGGCGGCTTCTCAAGAAGGGCTCAGCTCCATGGAGTTATTTTTAGTTGGTACTAATGACATCCAATATGGCGTCAAACTTTTATCTGATCTTTTGCCTACTTTGTTTCCTAAGGAAAGAAAGTGGCTTGACATATCCACGTGTGCCTCAAATGTCAACTTCTGAAACAGATGACATGAAGACTTTTGTTTTCTGCCTTCTTTCAAAAATAAAGAAAGCAGGCTTAAAAACGCCTTGAAATTATTGACACAAGAACCGTCTTTCTGCGGAAGCACCCGGTAGCGTAGTTGATTGAGGCACTATGCTACAAACTGGAAGGTCGCGGGCTCGATTCCCGATGATGTCATTGGATTTTTAATTAACCTATCCTTCCAGCAGCACTATGTCCCTGGGGTCGACTCAGACTGAATTTCTTAACGGAAATGAGTACCAGGAAGATTCCTGGGGGTAAAGGGCGACCGATCAGCGCGTAAGGTTAACAAACCTCACTGCCATCTTTGAGCTGACTGTCCAAAAAATGTGGGAGCCTCAACGTCTCACAACCCAATGGGCCTCCACGGCCTGTTACAGGGATAGCATTACCGTTTTTTTTTTACCTTTACCGTCTTTCTGTCTAATTACGTTCCAAGATCTCACCTTCGAAACTTTGGGGTGCTATATATATATATTTTTTTTAACACCCTGTATATATACGTATCTATCATGGCTACCACTACATCCAATGTAAATCTGCCCGTGTTTAACTAAATAATCACAGCGCCATGAACACGTATGGGGGAGTGGACGCACAGACCCACATATTTCTGACCTCAGCACTAGTTGGAGGTGAGTCAGCTTCAAGCCTAGGTCGCTTTAACCCCGGGGAAAGAGCCCCCCCCTCAGAACCGGTCTGGACGACGTGGAGAGTTCTTACCGTGACTCGAACTCCAGCCCGTAGCCTGTCGCTATACCGACGGAGCTATCACGACCCTATCTAACGCACACACCTATCGTAGTGGTGTAATGAAATTACACAATTTTTGTTCTATTCTTTCTTCAGGACTTTAATTTTATTTTCTACGACGGAAAAAAACGCAAAAAAATATGTTGCTGTTTGCAGAGAGAATTAAGAGGACCTCCTATGCTTGCTTCATGCAGCACATGAAAGTCCCGGCCACGCCATAAACTTAGCAGTTTGAGATGCGTGTACTTCCATTACGAATCAATTCCCAGCGACACGGATCTGTAAACGCGTCTGAAACTTCAAGAGAAGGACTGTAAAATTTATTCCACCTTGCTGTTATACACGCCGTTACCCTCAAGACAGAACTTCATGCCGTTTTACACGCTTTGGCTGTTTCAAATGGGCATTCATTTAAATTCAACTTCCATTTGTTCCCTTATTGCATTTTCTAACGGCGACCTTCGAAAGAGAATAGAATCCTATTCCTACTTTCCACTAAATCGACGGATAAAATCCAAGATTACTGTCTTCTGGGGTGCGTCAAAGTCTGATAGTTATGAACGTTTGGGCGGAACCTGATTTCTCAATCTTCAGATTTGAAGATTACCTCGAAGATGGAAGCAGAATGTTCCTCCGAAATGCCAGTAATTAACTATCAAACTATAAGGCGCCACAATCCAAAAGGTATTAATCTTGGATTTTCATGTGACCTTCGAAAATCCTTGAACAGTATAGGTGGTATGTGTTATAATTCGAATCCCGGTGTTGCCCAAAACATACCAGAACCATGAACTGTTTCCAGGAATAATAAAAACGGCATATGTCTAACGACTCTCTAGTAATTCGAAATAGACGACCCGAAGTTCGGTAAAGTGTCAGTTACATGATTCATTTGATCCACTGGAGCCAAAATTAATTTAATCGGACACATTTTCGTTAAAAATACCGCAAAACGAAATCTAATCGAAATCCATGACATTCGAGGTTCTCACGGCAGTATCAAGATTACGATCTTCTGATATATGAAACAATATAGTTTCACCCTGAAGATGACGGCAGCAGATTTCTCCGAACTGACGGCACCTATCTACTCTGAAGATGGATGTAGCAGGTTCCTCCAAAACGATGGCCCATTACTCTGTAGAAAGACGAAGCAAGTTTCTCCAAAACGTCAACGGGTTTACCTACTCGTACCTCACCCTAACGATGCACCAGGTTTCTCCTAAACGCTCGTAGCTGTTTATTATGAAGATGGAGACACTATGTCCCTTCGAAACGTTTGTACTTATGTACCAAACTATACGGCTTTATATTTCAGAGGGCAGTGTCTCGATACAGATCCGTTCGATGCTTAAGAAGACGAAAATACGTGACCTTCATATTAAACGTTCACTTTATGCACTTCGTAGCAATACACTGGATTCTAAAGCCAGTTCTCTCACAGCCTTCACACTTCACTACCTTCCGAACTTGGTCGCTTTTGTTACCGAAATACCTTCACGGCACCTGCTGACAGGCGCGCGGATCTCTCATACATCACTGGTCCATGGGGGCACGCAAGATGCTGTGTCCAATTTGCTTATGCGAGCCAGGGATCTACAGCAGTGGTTCTCATGCCTTCCTAGTCCGCTGTTCCCTAGCAACCACAGTCCACCCTCAAGGGCGTCCCTAAACATTTACGTCACCTGCACATCAACTTAAAAAGAAACAGATTCAAACAAAACAATTTATCCGAGATGTTTTTAATGCCTGTACCACATTCACATAATGTTTAAAACATGTTACACCTGTATTTTCTCGCCTCATTCGTTTATGACAGAAAATTGCAGTCACTACTCTGTAACCAGGTTAACTAACTAACTAACTAACTTATGGAGCTGAGCCCTTCCTGACAAGTCACCAGTTGTGCAGCTACTCAAGAACTTCTCAGCATTTTATGGAACCATAAGGTTCATTAGCGTGGTCCTCACCCTGAGCCAGCTCAATCCAGTCCATTCCATCCAATCCTGTCTAAGATCAATTTTAATATTAACCACCCACCCACGTCTTGGTCTTCCTAGTGGTCTCTTTCCTTCTGGTTTTTCCCACTAATATCCTACACTCATTCCTCTTTGCCCCATTCGTGCTAAATGTCCAGTCCATCTCATCCTCCGTCACTTGATGATTCTAATTACACTTGGCCAAGAGTACAAGTTATGAATATGGACACCGATAAGCACTTTAGAGTCCAAAATATTATAGAATTATTCTTGATATACAAATTTTGTGAAACATTAAAGATATTCAATACGATATTTTCCCCCTGCTCTAACATACAACAGGAAAATATAATTACTCTGGCGGGCCCCTAGGGTTCCGCGGATCACATTTTGGTAACCACCGATCTAGTGGCTCTGCCTCGAGTAACCGTTGAGCATGAAATTGCTTGCTGTAACAAAATCTGAGGGTTCATCATGAAAATCAACGGCATCGCTGTATCCTGAATCAGTCCAAGCCATTTAGCACAATCACGATCGATTTCCTTACGATCCATTTTAATACTATCTTCCCATCTATGATATTATACTATACCCCTCTTCTGCAACTAAGGACTGAGGAAGCTGGCACAAGAGGTAAGGTTTCCGACTTGTATTAGCGAGGTTTCCTATTCGAATCTCTGTAGAAGCATCGGATATCCTGAGGCTTCTCCTGGGATTTCTCAGCTTCCGAGTCAAATGTAGCGACAGTAACTCAAATAAGAGGGGCTTCCGTAGTCTAGAGGTAATGTTCCCACCTCATGACTCGTAGTACGCGGGTTCAAACCCGGCGGAGATCGTGTAATTTTTAAGGGCGGAAAAATTCAGAGAACAAGTCCTCCGGGAGGGACTTTAAGCCGTGGGTCCCGTGTCGTAGCTTTACGGCACGTAAAAGAACCTCATATCTCCTAAGGAGGTCACTGAGCCAAATTCAAGGGCATTTCCCGCCCAACAGTAGTCTCTAACGCCCCTGATAGAGGGGGGAAGCATTATAGATACCGCCAAACCAGTAGAGGCCGAAATCGCTGGCTTGGTCGGGACTGATGGTAAGCACCAGTATCGGTAGGGTATAGACACTTGTAGAATATCATAGAGGGAAGCACAATAGATCAAACTGGTCGCGGTGCATGGGAAAACCCACCCTCAAAATAACTAACTAACTAACTCAAATCAGACCGCGACCGCTCCTTTCCGTATCCTCTCCACTTCATCTGTTCCCTCACGACTCACCCACTCGACGCTACAAACTACGGATAACTGATAGCGCGGTTAACTACATGATACATAAAGAAAAAGACGTAAAGCTATCCCTGTGACACGCCATGGAGGCCCAGAGGGTTGTGAGACGTCGAGACTCCCACATTTTCTAAGCAATCGGCTCACAGATGGCGGTAATTATGTCAGCCTTACGCTCCGGCCACCCTTTACACCCCAGGAATATTCCTGGTAATCATTTCTGTTAGAGACTAAGTCGACTGGAAGGATCAGGTCAAAGGAAGAATTCCATGACCTCGTCAGGAATCGAACCCACGACCTTCCTGTTGTAGCATAGTGACACTACTGTGCTTGTTTCGATTCTCACTGATGAGCTGATCATCTTCTATCAGGTCTCCCAACACTTCTTTTTCCACCGGGTGTTACATTGCTCTCTTGGGCATTCTTTCATCCTCCATCCTTCCACGTCGGCTTTCCACTGCCTTCATTCTGTATTTCCCACTATTCTCCACATTTTTACCGAGTTGTGAGTTGCTTCATTCAACTGTAGCCATCACTTGGCCTCATCTTTTCAGAATTTACATTTCGTATCCAAACAGAAGGAGAGGTTTCACTGTCATTTGTGAAGTCTTAATTGAACACCCTTTGGTATACATTTACTGATTGTAGGCATGAATATGGTATAGGAAGACGGAACACAGCCAGTTACGGTAGTCGAGCGGTCTAAGGCATGTACTGTCTTCCCTGGCTTGGAAACCAGGATCGTGGGTTCGAACCCCACTCAGAGCATGGATGTTTAGTTTGTGTGTGTGCGATTTTCTGTGTTTGTGTACAGGTAGAAGCCTTGCGACGAGTCGATCACCCGCCCAAGGAGTCCTACCGAATGTGTAAGATCTGGAAAAACCGAAGTGAACGGAGAAGTTCATGGAGGTAGGCCTAGGCCCACTGGGGCTGTAGTACCAAGAAAAAAAAAAGACGGAACACATGGCGTTAATGGGGGAAAAGAAAATTTGTTCATAAGAATATTGTCACGTGTATGAGTGACTACAGATGAGGTTTGGATTGGTAATTGGATATACTAGCCATTTACATATCGTAAATAGTACACAGGTACCTATAGCGCTATCGCGCCATCGTGCGGCTGGAAAGATTAGGACAATCGAAAAATCCAATGACCTCATCGGGATTCGAACCCGCGGCCATCCAGCTCGTAGTATAGTGCCTCAACCCACTACGCCACCGCGTGCCCAAGCCATACGTAAATACACAAAGAACACATACGTAACCAAAGCAGGAATCAGACGAAACAGCGTGTGAGCGACAGAGACAGAGCTATAACAGTGCGACGCTGTGAGACGTTTCCAGTCAAGCTAGAGTTAAGAACATCGTGGCCGCGCCTTAGCTCAAGCGGTTAGTCGCTGGCTTCCTATCGTGGCGGCCCGGGTTTGATCCCGGGTCTGGTCAAGTGGAATTTGTGGTGGACAAAATGGCGCTGGGGCAGGTTTTCTCCGAGTACTTCGGTCTCCCCTGCCAACCTTCATTTCACCAACTGCTCCACAATCAGCCTCACCTATCATCTGGGGCTGGTACAATAGGCCAGAAGTGGCCGCAGTACAAGGGACTTAGTCCCACCCCACTAGCAATAAAAAAATAAGAACATCGTACAATCGATCGTTTTACCAGATTTTGATTCCAGTTAGATTTCCCCTTGCTACCAAAGCGCCACTGTGGACCAACTGATCTATATTTACCTGCTTACTCAGCGGACCCCGTTCCTTGGGTGTAGAAACCGAAGGGACGAGGGTGCTCCACCCCAGCAGCCGCTGATGGCGTGGTGGTTACTGACGATGGAGTACCAGATCCTGATCGCAGGGGGACGGGTAGCGGCTTTGGGGCTTTCCTTGGCCGCGGTGGACCGCGTGTGCCTTGATGTCCAGGCCCTACTGGGCGCAGGCGGGGTCGACCGGGGCCCCGCTTCACGGGGATGGGTTGCGGATGTCCTGGGGTGGCACTCGAGTCAACCGGTTGACACGGGTCACCTGTAAGAAACAACAGAATGTCATGACTCTGTGTTCCGCAAAAGCAGAATACGGCCTTCAGCCTCTTTAGAGTAAGGGCGGCCGAAATAAAATGAAGCACTCGGCCCGATCTAGTGCAGAGGTTAGGAATTAATGGAGCTTTACCTAACCTCCACCGTGCCATCTTGGTGTTGCAGAGTTCCCTCCGAGAGGCGGAAATGTGACTTGTCTCCACATGAAATTAATGGGAATACGAAACTGCAAACAATAGCTAACTAATTACATGGAGCTGAGCTTCTTTGAGAGACCACCTGTCACACAGCTAATCAAGGATTTCCGAAAATTTTACGGAACCCGAAGATTCAATGCCATCTTGACAAAAACCCTTTATTGGTCCATATCCTCAGCCAGATTAATCCAGTCTACACCGCCCCACATAAGTCTCTAAGATCCATTTTATTATTATCCTCCAACTTACGTTCACGTCTTCCTAGTCGTCTCTTTCCTTCTGGTTTTCCCACTAAAATCATATATACATTCCTCTCTCCCCCATTCGTACCACATGCCTTTCCCATCTAATCCTCCTTGACTTCATCATTTTAATTATACTTGGAGATGAGTACAAGTCACGAAGCTCCTCATTATGTAGTTTTCTCCAACCTCCTGTCCTGTCACATCTCTCTTCGGCCCAAATATTCTCCTCAGCACCCTGTTCTCAAACACCCTCCCTCCCTCCCTTAATGTCAGAGACCAAGTTTCACACCCATACAGAAATAGGCAAAATTGTAGTTCTATTTATTCTAATTTTACGTGTCTAGACAGCAGACAGGAAGAAACAAAATGTTCCGGACTGAATGGTAGCAAGCATTTTCGAATTCAATATCCTCTTAATATGGGAGAACGGAGGAAAGGAGTTAAAGGTACGAGAGAGATAAGGAGAGGAAGGAAGAAATGATTCTGTCGGGCCATGTGCCGCTATATATACTGTATAATAAAATGGTGTCCGGACAAGTAACCGAGGTCTAATCACTACATCCGAAACAAGCGATGACAGGTTCATGATATAACTGACGAAAACAACAGAACATTAAATTACATGACATCACAGGCCCAAAGCATTATACGCCTGTCTTTTTAGACGAAGCGTTTACATACGTAAGTACCGTATAATTGCCCCAATTTCCTTTCACAGCCGCCATTTCTGCCCAAGAACAGGAAGCTAAATAAGTACATGTTGTAGGTTCCGAAACGTCCCCCCCCTCCCCAACCCTCTGTAACCCACAATGCTGTCAATTTCTCTAATAGGGAAAACAATCCGACAGTCCGCACTACAATGTAACAGCCGGCAAATTGGAGGCAGTTTTAACGTATTCACAAGCACAACATCTGTTTCGTAAACATCCCAGTGAAATTCTCTTATCTGAAATTAGGCAACTCAACTTCAGCAGCGGGAAAAACCACGTACAAATATGAATAATAATGTACCAATGTTACGATAATAATTTGATTTAGTCATATTCAAATGACGTTCCTCTCTTGCTCCGTACAGGTTACTTTAGTACAGGGGAAACAAAAATATGGCCAGCGGGCCCGAAGCAGCCCCAAAAATATTTAGGGCCTGATTAAATCGAATAAATGTCGTTGAAATTTCAATAGAAAATTGTTTAAAAAAGAACATTTTCAAACATACTGTGGCGCATAGAGCCGTTGCTAAGCAGAGACTCTAAAAACAACGATTGTTTCTGAGCAACGGCTCGGTACACAGGTTCCCGTGGCAACGAATACTCAAGCAAAAATAGTTACTGTTGGAAACGGGGCGTTTCTACGTGGTCCGTGCTGAGATGTTATAAGCTAGGGATGAAGTCAGTTGTTAGGAATTTCTGTACGGGAGGCTGTGAAGACAGGACATAAGTGCGTGAAGCTGAAGAATCTCCACTGTTAAAGCCGTTGCCAGGGAAAGACTGGTGAAAACACAGCAGGCAGGAAAAGTTTGGCGGGTGCTGTGGTGATTTGCGGATCGTGAAGAACAGCGATGGAGCTGCAATTGCTTGTAGTTTCCCCGTCGTGTGTACGGGAAGCAGTCAATGAATCCATTCGCCAATCCAAACCCCATCGATGACCACCTCTGTGGTCTAGTGGTCAGAGTTCCTGTTTACAGATCCAGAGGTCCCGGGTTCGATTCCAGGCGCTACCAGATTTTCTGAGAAGTAGTAGGACTGGAACAGGGTCCAGTCAGGCTCGTGCGGATAACTGGGGAGCTACTTGAAAGCACAGCTCCATACCAGATGGAAATGAGGTCAATTTCACGTCTCGGCTGCTTTAACCCAAGTGACAGAGCCGGTAAGTACCATATAGGAGGCTATATAGACCTAAGGTCGGTCTGAACTCAGCGGCTTGAAGAAATATACCCTGCCCCCAATGGGAATCAAACTGCGGCCACTGAGACCAATCACTATCCCGATTAAGCAACGACAGAAGGGCGACCCTTACCCCCAGCAACAAAAATAAGAGCACAGTATAAAAACACATCTCTCACATAACGGTTTTGACACCCTTTATGCTTTCAACGCTCAGTGCCAACAGTGCCCTACGTATCGCGGTTTCAAATAGTCGTGTGTTAAAAATGTGCTCTTAACAAGAAGTTTTGGAAAGAACTAATCGCATTCTTTCCTTTGATACGACACGGACGGCATAGAAAACGACGAGCCCAACAACTTTTCAACAGTTACGTGTGTATTCGTTGCTGCGGTAACGTTTTTAACGTGCCGTTGCCTAGCAAAACACACATATACAGACACAAAGAATGATGGGGGGATTTATGAAGCATGCTGATGAGATGGGCTCAGGTGCCATGATATACATATCAAGTTTCATAAAGATTGGTTCAGGCATTCAAAAGATGACAGAGGGCACACAGCCATACAGACAAGATCACATAAGCCTACTCTAGGAAAGTAAGCTAAAAACACTAACAAACTGCAGAGGATGAGATGGATGATACATGCAGCACACATGGGAGAGCTAAGAAATGTATACAGATACATTAAGACCTCACTAATTCGGACTAATTTGGAGCGAAAAAACTCCGTGGCTTCAGTACACAAGCGAACTATACCGACTGAGCGACCGCCATTAAAATTTCTATTTCTTTTTATTTTAATAGAAATTTTAATGGATTTTAATCAATTACTTGCGTTATTTTCAAGTGGAATGCAACGCGAGGCTTTAGCGCAAATCAGAACAGTGTGACAGTTTATACGCATTTAAACACCTGAAGTGTTAAATGGTGAATACACAATTGCTGCATTACTGACGGACTGTGGATATATGGAGATATCACTGTATCTAGTTCCTGATTTCGGGCTATTGCAACAATCACTGTTGAGGTTGATTATGCTGTTGGCTATTTGTACAGTATGGATGTGGGGTAGTGACGCTTCGAAGGTATATGCTGCCTCCAGCTTCAGGGTCGGAGTAGGATGAATGACTTTTCATGCATATATAGGGTTTACTCCAACAGACCCAAGGGGACAAAAACTTGGTGGCCCTTAACTGGGTCATTTTTATATTACCCAGCCCATAGTCCGTACTGACCCGAACCGGACACTAGCCCCACCCTTCCCCGGGGAGTCTCTCTGACCAAAACCTATATAGTCTATATATAAAATCTCATTCTACTCCTACCTTAATTATGGAGGTAGTATGTTCCTCCGAAACATGGGTAACACTGCCCAAACCAATATGGTGCAAAAGCCGACGGGCAAACCAATCGTAAGAACTTTTTAGTCAGTGAGAAAACTATTTTCTTCACATTTACGCCTATATTCTTGCGCTGTTAAACAATAAACGTTTATCGAAAGTAGAGTACGCGGTAAAGTAATCAGATTAATACAAATTAAACCGCTGAACAGAACGCTGTAAGCTACAGAAGTACACAACTTCACATTTAATTCTTATTTGGGAACGTTTCTGTGGTAATGACACTTAGAAATTACTCCGCCAAACGCAGTAGTCCAACCATTTTTCTTTTCGTTTAGCAAGAGGGGAGAGGGGACAGATAATTAATTGCGCCACGATATCGAAGACGAATCTGAAAAAAGACTAAACACAAACACTGAACAGATAGAATTCCGTGTGCTGTAAGCTTGAGACAAACACTCGAGAAGAGCTCACCTCCAGGGGAAAATATTTAGCCAGGATTCCGTTATGCGATGCCATACTGTAAGATGCATAAAACTTAACAGTGTTCCCAACACCGCGGAAGCGCAACATTCGGACATTATATAGTCCATTTCAGAAAGCTTCGCAACAGCCATATACACCTTCCCTCCATCTTTACCCGGAGCACGCGGTACCGTAGTTGGTTGAGGCAGTATGCTATAAGCCCGAAGGTTGCGAGTTTGATTCCTGATGAGGTCATTTGACTTTTTCAATTCACCTAAACCTTCCAGCCGCACCATGGCCCTGGGGTCGACTCAGCCTCTAATAGAAATGAGTTCCAGGAATCTTCCCGAGGGTAAAAGGCGGTAGGCCGGCCGGCGCGTAAGACTTACAATCTCACCGATATCTGTGAGCCAACTGTCTAGAAAATGTGGAAGTTTCGATGTCTCACAACCCTATGGGCCTCCACGGCCTGTTGCAGAGAGTTATACCTTTTTTATCTTCAACTTCATTATCCCCGTCTGAGCAACAGCTAAGTGCAATACCGTGTATTTATGAAATACTCCGTTGGGATGGGTTCAGGTGCTATGATTAGGTTTAGGTTTAGGCATTCAAAATTTAATGGGATCATGGGGTTCACAGACACACAGACAGCACAGGGATCATATAAGCCTACTTTCATTTTTCAAAATATCGTTTTTACCCTACCTCCCCTATTTAAAAAAAATGAAAGTAGACTTATGTGATTTCCATGCTGTCTGTCTGTGTATCCCCCTTATCAGCTTTTGAATTTTTAAACCAATCTTTACGAAAGTTGGTATGTACGTCACGGTACCTGAGAGCATCTCAGCAGCCCCTTA